TTGTGACATGAGATGAATTTGAAAGCAAGATCAAGTCCTTCCAGGCCAGATGCCACATGTGGGTGTGGTCACTTGGTCACTTGGTTCCTTTTGGTCTCTTCCCCATCAGTTGTGCCCGTGCCTTGGGGAGTCCTGGGTTTGCAGTGGCCTTCTCCCCAGTGGTCCCCTCACCCAGATGATGGCTGCCATCGAGGAGCAAGAGGAGAAGGTAGTTCCTGCCAAGTGTCACCCAGAAAGCCACGTGGAGCAGGAGAAGTCTTAGTGAAGGTTGGGATCTCATTGCCTTGAGCCTTTCGAGGGACTGACACGTGGAGGTGGCTTTGATGGGGGCGGGGAGGGGGGGGACCGGGCACCTTCCAGTGGCCATTTTGATTGCACTTGACTTTGCTCATAAGAAGTCCTGCCTCCCTCTGTCCACCATCTGGAGTTCATGTCCAGAGAAAGAGTACACAATTTGTGTCTCTGAGCATCTGGCCCTGCACTGGTCACTCCTTGTACATGGAGAGCCAGCTTTACCCCTCGGTGCCCTCCCCTCCTCTCAGAAGGGGTCTCCTCAGTATTGCTGTTATCAAGCAGTCTCCCTCTGGTGTGGGAAAACTTGCCCCAATAGCAGCCATGGCTGAATCTGGAGTTTCCCATCGGCGTTGCCTGGTAACCAGCAGTGGACACATCAAATACATGGGACATTGGGGTGGCTGAGAAACCTGTTGGGAATTCTGCAGAAATGGTGTCTGTGTGAGAGAGTATCTATTGTTGGAAAGTATTTTTATACATGTGCTTTTATCTGTGCCGACCTTTACTGTGTCCTGAGGGTTGGATTGTTCAGCTATTCAGATGAATTAAATGCCTTTTCAGAGCTATGGCTTTTCTTTTGGAACCCCTAAACTACATGGAGGGGGGCTTTGGGCTATTTCCTAGAAGAATCTGCTGGGCCTGAGCTGATATCTACCCATTCTGCTGTCCCTAGCATAGGGCCTTCATTTGTTCTGCTCTGCTCCAGAGACACCTACAGAATCCAGTCACTTGCCAGGAGAGTCCAGAGACACCTCCTGCCCCCTGCCCAACTCCCCCCCCAGCCATCCCTGTTCCCCCTATTTAGTCAATTCTGAGGGTGTTTGTTTCAAAACTTGGCCTGAGGTAGCTGGGGGTGTGCTGCTTTGAGGGCATTCTGCATGTAGAGGATATTTATAACCTAGATTATCTGAATCAGGGCCTGCCTGGTGACCCCATTGGCATGCCCAGTGAGGAAAGTTCTGAAAGCTGTCCTGGGGTCAGGTCAAGCCTTTCCTGTGATGGCCCTGTGTCAAAGCTGCTTTAGAGCTATCAAGACTTGATCCTAGCTGGGCTCTGACGGCTCACACCTGTATTCCTAGCGACTCAGGAGGCTGAGATCTGAGCTAGCCAGGGCAGGAAAGGCCATGAAACTCATTTCCAATTAATCACCAGAAAACTGGAAGTAAAACTGTGGCTCAAAGTGGTAAGAGCACTAGCTTTGAGCAAAATAGCTCAGGGACAGTACCAAGGCCCTGAGTTCAAGTTCCACACTGACTCCCCCAAAAAAGATGACCCACGAAACCCATGTCTCCTTATACTCAGGTCTTCCCCCTCAGCATGTGGGCATTGGGCTGGGTTTACCCCCATGGGTATATTGTGCACTGCAGGATCAGGAGCAATATCCCTGGCCTCTGCCTATTCCATGCTAGGGGGCACCACAGTCCTACAGATACTCCAGAAACTACTGGGTCTTACCGGGCTCCTCCTGGCTCCATCTCTCTGTTAATTGCCAGATCAGAGACCAACTTAGCGCCATCTACTGTCAACTTCTGGACCTCCTGCCCCTGGTCACTGAGGCTTCCTTCCCAAAGTTAATTTTATTTATTGTAGCTCAGGATGGTACAAAAGAATGGAAGTTTCCCCAACAAAAGGACCAACACAACAGGAATGGACAGTTCCCCTCGTGGGCACCTTGATATCCAGCATGTACAAATATATAGCTCACTGAAGCATGTTCCAGTTCTGCTTCTCCTGCCTTTTCCCTACTCACCCACTCACCTCCCTCCCACTGGCTCCACAGCTGGTTTCTGATCTGTCTGTTCCCCCATTCCCTTCTTACTCCCCCCCCCCATAACACCTGATGCTCCCAGGTTCCTAAGCACCCTACCTCATGCATCTGACCTCCTATCCAGTCCCTCCACCCAGCAACTAGCCAGGCACATCGGTCACACCTCTAGTGTCCTCTACGCATTACTCCAAAATATAGAGGTAGAAAATAGTGTCTGTCACAGTTTCCATACGCTGGGGTCCAAGAGCAAATAGGCTGGGTAGTTTAGGGGTCTCTAGAGGCTACAGCCAGGTGCTCAAGAGTGAGCATAGTTCCTAAGTACTTGGGTGGCTCAAGGCCTTAGTTCCTCCTTGAATTGTACCTCTCCCTGGCTGGTGAACTTCCTGCTTTGCTGGCCCACAACTACAAGCAATTCCTGACATTCCTCCCATTCATCCCCCATGCCACCTCCCAGATAGGTTCTGGTGCCAGACAGAGGAAGGACTGTTTTCTGGCTCTTAATCTCAATAATTGAGTTCCCAGAATCATGCCTATTTCATTTCATTTTGTTTTTTTGCCAGCACTGAGGCTTGATTTTGGGGGGGTGGGGGGAGGTCGGGGGTGGGAGAAGGTCCTAGGGCTTGAACTCAGGGCTTGGGTGCTATCCCTGAACTTTTTGTTTTGTTCAAGGCCATCACTTGAGCAACAGCTCCACTCCTGGCTTTTTTGGTGGTTTACTGGAGATAAGGGTCTCACCGACTTTCTTGCCTGGGCTGGCTTTGAACTGTGATTCTCAGATCTCAGTCTCCTGAGTAGTTTAGGATTATAGGTATGAGCTACCAGCACCCAGCTATATCTCAGCTAAGGATTACAGGTATGAGCACCACTGCCCAGCAGGACTAGGTAATATAAAGAAAATATATGTAATATAAAGAAAAGATACTTATTTCTCACAGTTCTGAAGAGCCAGGCAGAGTAAACAAACTTCCTTCTTTTACCTTTCAAGTGCCAGGGACAATGACAGAACCTCTGGAATGCTATGTGCCCCCCACTGAACTGTACCCCAGCCCCCTTTTGCCTCTTTAAAATCACTAATGCCTGGAAGGGGACTCCTTCTGACTTCTTTGTCTTCAACACCAGAAACAATGTGGTTTTGGGATCAAGTTTCCAGCACATTACTATAGGGGACACTAGGGAAAATCCAGGAAACCCAACCCAAAGAAAGTGCTTCATTAATATAAAATAATTCACTGGGTATGGCTTGTACAAGACAGTCTCTGACCTTTTCTATAACACTAAATATTTATGTTTTTTTCCTTTTTGGCAGAACTGGAGTTAGGACTCAAGGCCTTTTTGTTGTTGTTGGGCCTGGGGCCTGGGTGCTTTCTCTCAGGGGCTGTCCCTGAGCTCTTTCACTCAAGGCTAGCACTCTATCACTTGGAGCCACAGTGCCACTTTCAGTTTTCTGGTGGTTAATTGGAGATAAAGAGTCTCATGTAGTTTCTTGACTGGGCTGGCTTTGAACTGATATCTTCAGATCTCAGCCTCCCAAGTAACTAGGATTACAAGTGTGAGTCACTAGCACCTGACAAGGCCTTTTTGTTAAACATACTTGGTAGGCAATCTCTCACTCAAGCCACACCTCCATATTTCTTTTTTTTTTTTAATACCACAGTTCAGAAATTCTTGAGAGGCACAGAAGAAACTGTTTTGTGTACCTGCTACCATTTCAGAGTCCCCTTGAAGTCTTTCAGCTAAAATCCCCATCTCCCTCTTCTCTCCTATATGTTGTCCATCTCAAGTCCATGCCTGTACTGGGTGACACAACTTCTCTCCCCCATTCTTGCCCCCTGCCTCTGACCATCAGAAAGCTGGCGGATGCTAAGAACAGGGGTCAGGGCCTGGCTTTCCTCCACAGTGGGACCCTAGCCCCTCATAGCTGGGGAGGTCCTTAATAGGTTGTCTTGCTGGAGCTGCAGTTTCCCCACTTGTAAAAGGGGTGGAACACATATCCTGCAAGGTGGAGGTGGCATACAAGCAGAGATATTTTTATAAAATACCAGTTCTAGCCCTACCAACTTAAAAAACATTTAAATATAGCTGGGCACCTGTGGCTTACACCTGTAATCCTAGCTACTCAGAAGGCTGAGATCTGAGGATCACGGTTCAAAGCCAGTTGGAGCAGGAAAGTCGAGACTCATCTCTAATAAACCATTAGAAAACCAGAAGTGGTGCAGTGGCTCAAGTGGTAAAGCGCTCACTTGAGCTGAAGAGTGCAGGGACAGCGCCCAGACCTAGAGTTCAAGCCCCACGGCTGACAGAAAGAGAAAATCAATTAAAAAAATAAAATAGGTTAAAGGAATAGAGAGATACACAATATTTTTAAATACAAGTACATATCAAGATTTGAGAGAATAACTTGAAAACCCAGAGGTATGGGAAAGGACAAATACCAGGATGATGAGCCAATGTACAGCTTTCTACTGAGTACAATGAAGGCAGGCCTGCCCCAGGGGTCAAAACCGTTGCCGAAACCCGGGATCGAACCAGGGACCTTTAGATCTTCAGTCTAACGCTCTCCCAACTGAGCTATTTCGGCAGACTAGCGGCTCCCCCTTTTCTTCTCGCCTCCGCCCTCTCCCACTGCGTTGCGCGCAGGCGCAGTTTGGTGTGCATGCGCAAATTGAGTAACTCTCGTAAGTCCGCTCTGGAAGCCCCACAGCCATGCCGTCTCTGTGGCGCAATCGGTTAGCGCGTTCGGCTGTTAACCGAAAGGTTGGTGGTTCGAGCCCACCCAGGGACGTGCGCGTTGTTTCTTTTAGCTCCAAGGGAAGGGGAAATAAAGCACGTGGGTTTGTTCTTGTGTTTGTTCTTACTGCCCTCACCCCAACATACTTCTCTGTGCCAGGGGACCAGGGACGCGCGGCGCGGCGCGGGCACGATTACTACCGAAGAGCGGAACGACAGGACCTGGGCTCCGGTTTCCGCACGCGCGCCGAGCCCTTTTGGACCGACGCTCGTGAGACACGGAGCGCTAAGGACGACGGACCGCAGAGGTTGTCTGAAGGCCGAGGCCAAGATGGCGTCCCTGACCGGTGAGCGTGTGCGGGGTGTCGGGGGCCGCGGTCACCGCTGGCTCTGGGGACCCGGGGCCGTCCAGGGTCGGGTCGGGGCTGCAGGAGAATCGGGCTAGGTCGGGATCTGTAAGAGGGAGGACTGCCGAGTCCAGGGGCCGCGCCCCGCCGGGACGTCCGGGCCCCGCCAGGCCTCTTCACGCCAGCGCTGCTCGGGCTCCAGCGTCGCCCGCGACTGTTTATAGTCGGGGAAACCGAGGTTCCGGGGTCCACCCCAGACCGGGACAAGGCCGGAGATGCTGCCTGTGAAGCAGCCGAGAGAGTGAGACAGAGCGTGCACCCTCCTGACAGGAATCAAAGACCCATAGCGAGACCTTCTAGAAGGTTCCAAGAGCACCGGGCAGAGACCCAAGCTATTCCAAGCCCCCTTCGTTTCCTTCACCGAACCTTGGATCCACGTCAGGTGTCTCAAACCTGCCCCGCCTCGGGACCTTTCTGTCCACAGGTGAAGCCTTCTGACCCCTTCTTAAAGTTATTAGGGAGCTGAAATAAAAACGGTACACTTGCCAAGGAAATCCGGCATACTGAAAGACAGTTATCCTGCCCACGGCTTAGTCACCTATGTGCTAACATTAAACATGAGCTGCAGGCCAGGTCTCACTACAGCTCTGGGTTTTTGTTTGTTTTGCTTTTTTGTGGGTTCAGAGTCTTGAATTCAGGTCCTGGGTGCTGCCCCTTAGCTTTTTCTTCTCAAGACTGGCTGGTGCTCTACAACTTTGAGACACACTTACACCTTCAGCTTGTTTGGTGGTTAACTGGAGATTATAATCTCATGGACTTTTCTGGTTGGATTGGCTTCTAACAGTGACCCTCGGATCTCAGTCTTCTGTGTAGCTAGGATTATAGGTGTGAGCCACAGGCACTGGGCTATAGGTATAGTTTTGAAGTCATCAAGAGTAGACGGCAATGATTTGTGGAGTTCTACCTCTTTAACATCTTAGTTCAACCCTGTTCTTTCTGGAAGGAAAGTTACAAGTCATGCTGATGTTGCTGTTTTGTTGTCTATGCCTAAATTGAATGAAAGGCCAATAAGATTGTTGTGATAACCTTTTTGTTATGTGCTTATTTTTCTGTGCAAGTATATAGTTCTGAAGAATTTTCTTTCTTTTCTTTTCTTTTTTCTTTTGTTGTTGTTGTTGATCGTGGGAACTGAACTCTGGGCCTGGGCGCTGTCCCTCAGCTCTTCAGCTCAAGGTTAGCACTCTATCACTTGAGCCACAGCACCACTTCCGGCTTTTATCTGCTTATGTGGTGCTAAGGAATCGAACCCAGGGGCTTATAAATCTGAGGCAGTCTACCACTGAGCCAACTTCCCAGCCTAGTTCTGAATTTTCATGTGCAGAAGCCCTTTGTCAAAACAGCCCATCCCAGGATCCTGTGTAGTAATTCATACATGTAATCTCAGCTACTCTGGAGATGGACATCAGCAGGATCAAGGATCTAAGCCATCTAGGGTTTAAAAAAAAAAGTTGTAAAGACCCCCCCATAAATAAATTGGGTACAGTGGTCATTTCTGTGATTTCAGGTATGCAGGATTCCATAAGCAACCCTGGGCAAAAGCTCAAGACCCTACCTGAAAAACAGCTAAAACAGAGAAGGGTTTGGCCATTGCTAAAATGCTAGAGCTCTTTCTGAGTTCAAACCCCAGTACTGCCAAAAAAAAAAGGGAAAAAGAGGAGGAGAAAACAAAACACTGGATCCAAAACCAGGTATTTGGGACTTACCTGTAATTTTAGATATCTGGGGAGCTGTGGGAGGAGGATTCCTTAAGTCCAGTAGTTCAGGGTCAGTTTTGGCAATAGAGTAGGACCAATTGAAAGACCTATTTCAAAAAGAAACAAACAAACCTAAAACTAAAGCCAGCCACCCGTGGTTCATGCCTGTAACCCTAGCTACTCAGGAGGCTTGAGATCTGGGGCTAAGGTTTGAAGCCAGCCTGGGTAGAAAAGTCCTTGAGACTTTTTCTCCAATGAACCAGCAGGAGGCTGGAAATGTGGATTGAATAGTAGAGTGCCAGCCTTGAGTGAAAAGAGCCCAAAAAGAGTACTAGGCTCTGAGTTCAAGCCCCAGTACTGGCAAAAAAAAAAAAAAGTCTGAGGCCGGGCGCTGGTGGCTTACGCCTGTAATCCTAGCTACTCAGGAGGCTGAGATCTGAGGATCATGGTTCAAAGCCAGCGCGGGCAGAAAAGTCCATGAGACTTATCTCCAATAAACCACTAGAAAACCGGAAGTGGCACTGTGGCTCAAATGATAGAGCATGCGCCTTGAGCTGAAGAGCTGAGGGACAGCACCCAGGCCCAGACTTCAAGCCCCATCACTGACCAAAAAAAAAAAAAAAGAGTTTGATCAACAACACATTTACTTTGTGTGAACTTATCCAAGGCCCTCCTAGGAAGGGGAACTGAGGCCCAGGCAGAGGCAGCTTATGCAAGAGTCTAGGGTTATCTTTGGGTTCAGCTTAGACCTGCCAAGAAGTAAGGTCATAGTCATGACCTTGGGGAACAAGCAACACTGGGTTATTTAGGCTGAGGCAGAATCAAGAAGGAAGTCGGACAGGAAGAAGCTGTGAATGGTAGCCTCTGGCCCTGGAGGGAACTTCACTCCAGCCTCCCCATTCCCATCATGCCCAAGATCAAGATATTACAGTGATCAACTTGTAAACATTGTTACTGTCTTCTCTTTATTTTTGTCTTATTAGGGTTTCTTGCACTTTGCACTCTTATCACTTGAGTCATGCCTTCAGCCCTTTTGCTTTTAGGGTTTTTGGGGGGTTTTGTTATTGTTTTTGTTCGTCGTGGGGCCTGAACTCTGGGCTTGGGCACTGTTCCTCAGCTCTTCAGCTCAAGGCTAGCGCTCTACCACTTGAGTCACAGTGCCACTTCCAGCTCTTTCTGCTTATGTGGTGCTGAGGAATTGAACCCAGGGCTTCATGCATGCAAGGCAAGCACTCTACTGCTGAGCTACCTTCCCAGCCCTAGGTTGGTTTGTGTGTGTGAGAGAGAGAGAGAGAGAGAGATCTGAAGTGCTAATTTTTCCTGGCCTCAAAATACAATCCTCTTGCCTCAGCCTTCCTAATAGCTGGGACCATGGGTGTGTGCTACTACATCCAGCTCTTCTATTGTTGTTTATATGTTTCTAAATTGTGTGTTTTGCTTTGTTTTGGTTTTTGAAGGTTGCTGGAGTTTCAACTTACCACCTTAAATTTTACACCTTACACCCCCTAGTCATTTGCTTTGGTTGTTTTTTGGATAGGATCTCAGGATTTGGGGGGTGGAGGTCCTGGGCACTCTGCCTGGGCACTGTCCCTGAGCTCTTCTGCTCAAGGCTAGTACTCTACCACTTGAGCCACAGCTCCATTTCCAGATTTTTGGTGGCAAATTAGAGAAGAGTCTCTTGTACTTTCCTGCCCCAGGCTGGCTTTAAACCCATGATTGTCAGATCTCAGCCTTCTAAGTAGCTAGGGTTACAGGTATGAGCCAGTGGTGCCCAGTGGGTCTCAAGTTTTTCCCTCTACAAGCTTCACAGGCCCAAGACTACAAATTCTCTATGCTTCCAATGTAGCTAGAATTACAAGATGAAGTCTTGCTACCTTTTTGCCTAGGTTGGCCTAGAATTACATCCTCCTGATCTCTGCCTCTCTTTACACTTCTGTAGAGTGTCCAAGTTTTAAACATGTGTATGAGGGACACAGTAGGACTCAAGTACCCCAATCCTGGCCACTCTGGCTGTCCCATGTCCCTCAGGTTCTCTCACCCCCTCAGCCCACCCCTCTTGCGTGTGCATGGGCTCTCTCTCTCGCGCTCGCTCTCTCTCTCTCTCTCTCTCTCTCTCTCTCTCTCTCTCTCTCTCTCTCTCTCTCTCTCTCTCTCTCTCTCTCTCAGTTGGTCATGGGACTTGAACTACTCTGGGCCTGAACGCTGTCCCTCAGCTCTTCAGTTCAAAGCGAGCACTCTACCACTGCTCTTCTCTTAACGCTTCAGGCTGCTTCCTCTGGGAGAGTTCTCCACAGAGGCCTTCTTTTGGACTGCATCTTTCTGGCTTTCCATTGCCTGATAGCTCTACTCAGTGACACATGGCTGTGTAGGTTGGTGTGTTGGATGTCTTCACTGCGTGCCAGAGGACCAGGCTGTGCTAAACAGAGTCTGAAACCCTTAAACCCCATGCTGCGTGTCTTGCTCATAGCCAAGGCCACAATAGTCCTGAGTACCCAGGAGGGTCCTGGAGTTTTGGAGGAAATAGGGAGCACATCAGTGTATATGACCAAGAGAATGAGCACCAGGATCCAGAGGGCTGGCAGGCTGGTGTGGGCCTGATGTCCTGGGCATGAGTTGAAATCTGCCCTCAGGAGAAGGCATCAGCCACTTGTAAATGTGGAGCAGGGTGAGAACCACAAGTGTAAAGGCCCTGAGGTAGAATCAGAGAGTCCTACAGGAAGAAGCAGGAGAGGAGAGGAGTCATAGGAGAGGGTGGCTTTGGTGTAGAGCATGGGTTTAAGTAGATAAGAGATGGGGGTGAGGAGGGCCTGACTGGAGAGTGCTGGCCCCAGCACTCTAGGGGATGATCCTACCAAGTCTGAGCTGGCCACCTGCAGTACACTACTCCTACCTCTGGTTCTTTCCACAGCTCCTGGCTTGCTCTGCATTCGGGTCCTTGGCCTGCGGTGAGTACCTGACAACCTGTGGAAGCCCTGTAGAGCCGGGAGGGTACACTGGAGCCCAGAGCTGGGAGGAACTTCCGCAGTGATCGGCAAAGGAACCACTTGGTGTGAAGTCTTCCAGCAAGTTGAGGCAGCACAGGGCTCCCTGGGGACAGCAGAGGCTGGCAGAGCAAGGAGTCAACTTGTGTCTGCCTGGCTTTGCACCCCCAGCTCCCTCACTACCCATCTTAGCAAAGTGTTCTGCAAGCCCTGGCCAGCCTGGGCCATCATGTGCCTGCCTCCTTGTGACTTAGATAAGGTTGCGAGGGCCACCCTCCTAGGGGAGCTATCAAATGTCCCTTCAACCAGGACCTGGAGTTTCTTTCTGTACACAGTCCCAGAGCTTAGACTTTCCTTAGAACTCAGTGGCCCATTAACAAGCTGGTAAGTCCTGGAAGAAACTATTAAAAACTACTCCAGTCAGGTGCTAGTGGCTCATGCCAGTATCCTAGCTACTAGGGAGGCTGAGAGCTGAGGATCAAGGTTCTAAACCACCTCAGGCTAGAAACTCAGTCTCCAGTTAACCACCAAAAAGGCACAAGTGGAACTGTGGCAGAGAGCTAGCCTTGAACAAAAACCTCAGTAGCTGGGCTTATAACTCATGCCTGTAATCCTAGTTACTCAGGAGGCTGGATCTGAGGATCATAGTTTGAAGCAGCACAGGCAGGAAAGTCTGTGAGACTCTAATCTCCAGTTAACCACAAGAAAACTGGAAGTGGTGCTGAGGTTCAGAGTGGTAGAGCACTAGCCTTGAGGGAAAAAGCTCAGGGACAGCGCCCAGGCCATGAGTTCAAGACCCATGACTGACAGGAAAAAAAAAACCACAGGGAAGGACACAGGCCCTGAGTTCAAGCCTTAGGACCAGCATTTAAAAAAAAGTAAGACAAAACAAAAAACACCTACTCCCTCATGGGGCATGTGATGGCCACTGGACTCTAGGGAGTCCAGCCAGTGGCCTGAGGTTGACAGTGGGAGTAGAGCAGGGGAGGAGTTCAGCAGAGTGGGACGATCAGCTGGGGAGGGCTCTTGGCCAGGGCTCCAGGAAAGCCATGGACAGCCACTGACCCTTTGTCCTTCTCCCCGACAGTTCATGCGCGGGTGCAGCAGTGCAGGCACGGGGCATCCATCTGAGCGTGGCCAATGAGGGCCCAAGCAGGTAGGCTGGCCTTTGGCAGGAGGCCACACCCCTTGCACTGTCCCTGCCTCCTTCATTGGCTATACCCATGGGGCTGCCAAAGCCTGAACCTGGTCCTTGGCCTGTTCTGTTCGAAGCTTTTGTTTATGCCTACTTCCCTGTTTCTCTGTGGAAAGCTATTGTGGATCCCTCTCCCCCAGTAGGGGGTGAGCCAGCACCCACCCGCAGGGGTACCTGGCTGGCTCACACCAACTATGTCCTGTATCCCCACATTCAGTACCCAGCCTGCTGTGTCCAAGGCCGGAGCTGTGGTCACCAAATACAGCGACATTCCTAGGAACCGGGGCGAGTATGTGGTGGCCAAACTGGATGACCTCATCAACTGGGCCCGCCGGGTGAGCCCCGTGTGCCTCCTGACCCTCTGTGTCCTGTAGGCCCCCACTGCACATGTGCCTCCAGCCTCCCCACACCCACAGCCTAGAGAGCAGGTGGGACTCTCCTAGAGGCTCCTCCATTCTGAGGGGTCAAAATCTGTACCCCCATATTGGGGATCCCCCAACCTCCCTCCTCGTCCCCAAGTCCTGTCCTTGCTATGGCAGTCACTACTGCCAAGCTCCTGCCCTGCCTTTTATTGCCCCCCTGCCCCGACCCCCGTGAGCCCCAGCGAGATGACCCCACCCCTCCTCTAGTTCTTTTTCTGGTCTCTGTATTTTTCTCCTCTATTGTAAAATATTTATTTATTGACAGTGCTGGGCCTCCTGCTTGCTAGGCAGGTGCTATACCTTTGTGCCATTGTTTTTGTTTTTTGTGCCAATACTGGGGCTTGAACTCAGGGTCTTGGTCACTGTCCCTTAGCTTTTTCAAGCAAGGCTGGTGCTATACCACTTGAGCTAGCCCTTCACTTCCACTTGGTTAACTGGAGAAAAGAATCTCACGGGCTTTTTCACCCAGGCTGGCTTCAGTTATCCTGGATCTCAGCCTCCTGAGTAGCTAGGATTACAGGTGTAAGCCACCCATGCCTGGCTTAAAAGTAATTTTAAGTCAGAAGAATCATGCATGTTGAAGTTTAAGTCGTTCTAAATAAATCTGACAGCCTCTTTTTGAGGTGCCCCACAGCAATGTCTGTGCCATGTGTCCCTCCAAGTCCACAGAGTGGTCTCTACACCATGCATTCCTCTAGCCTGCTCTCACCCAGCTGTCTGGCTTCACAGCGCTGGGTAGCACCCGGTGGTGACAGCTCAAGTCTAACAATTGTCCATTGTCAGGCATGCTCATGGGCTCTGCTTTTGCTTCTCTGCATTGTGCCCAGTGTACTCATGGTCATCCTGCACTGCCAAAGAGATGCCCTCTGTAGGAACACGGCCACCTGTGGCTCAGGGATCAGTAGAGGCCTTTTCCTGTTCTGTACCCCAGCTTTACCCCATGCTGGGCATCCCCACATGTGCAAGCTACAGAGACCACTTTTAGTTCTCAGGCCCAGGTACAGAATAAGCAGGACCCGTGGGGGGAATCAAGGCACCCCCAGATGAGGGAAATAGCAGAGCAGCTGGGGGATCCAGGAGGTTCCTGTTGAATTGGCTCTTGTGCTAACCCAGGAACAAGTCCTGTGGATGCTGGTAGGAACAGCTCTGCAAGGCAGGCCCCCTTCCCCCAGGGGCCCGGGCAACATCCAGAGTCCTAGTGTTTACAGCTGCACCTCCCACGCAGCTACTGAATGTGGCTGGTGCCCATAGAGCACGTGGATCTGCAGTGGTAGCTGGCCTGCTGTTTTTTCCATTAGCAATTTTACTCCCCCTACCTCCCTTCCCCCACTCCCCCTACCAATCTGGTTTTGAACTCTGGGCCTGGGTGCTATCCCTGAGCTTTTTTGCTCAAGGCTAGCACTCTACCAACATTGAGCCAAGGTTCCAATTCTGGCTTTTTGATAATTAATTGGAGGTAAGAGTTTCACAGGCTTTCGTAACCAGGCCATCTTCTAATCCACAATCCTCAGATCTTAACATCCTAAGTAGCTAGAATTACAGGTGTGAGCCTTTGGTACCTGGCTGCAAGTGCACTTCCAAGCCACCTCCAGGGGCTGGTGTGTCTGGCCACTGCCCTTAGGAAAAGAGCTGGGTGGCTTTTTTTTTTTTTTAATGCCAGCTTGAACTCAGGGTTTTAGTGCTGTCCTGAGCTGCTTTTTTGCTCAAGGCTATCACTGTACTACTTGAGTCCTAGCCTTCTGGTTTTTTGGGTAGTTTATTAGAGATAAGACTCTCACAAGCTGGGTGCCTGGGGCTCACAGCTGTAATCTTAGCTACTTAGGAGGCTGAGATCTAAGGATCATGGTTTGAAGCCAGCCCAGGCAGGCTTCAAAGTCTGTGAGTCTTTTTCTGGTCCTGGTCACTGTCCCTGAGCCTCTTTGTGCTCAAGGCTTGTGCTCTACCACTTGAGCCATAGCACCACTTCTGGCTTTTTCTAAGTAGTTTCTCAGATATAAGACTCTCACAGACTTTTCTGCCCAGGTTGGCTTTGAACTGTAATCCTCAGATCTTAGTCACCTAAGTAGTTAGGATTACAAGGCTGGGCTACCAGTGGCCAACAGGGTGACTTTCTTTTCAAGCGAGGTTGTGAACCTAGGTTTTCCTACATGAAACCCACACGGGCAACATGTGACCTGAGCACCTGCCCCACAGAGCTCACTGTGGCCCATGACCTTCGGCTTGGCCTGCTGTGCTGTGGAGATGATGCACATGGCAGCACCCCGCTATGACATGGACCGCTTTGGTGTGGTCTTCCGTGCTAGCCCACGCCAAGCCGACGTAATGATTGTGGCTGGCACACTCACCAACAAGATGGCCCCAGCACTCCGCAAGGTAAGCCATGTCCCTGCCCAAGCAGCCAGCCCAGGTTACTGAGCTGCTTGCAGACATCAGATCCCATGTCTCTTGTAGGTCTATGACCAGATGCCGGAGCCACGTTATGTTGTGTCCATGGGGAGGTGAGTGCCAAGCCGGCTCCTTCCATTCCCCATGCTTTGCCCTGCTCACGTATCTGAATGTAGTTGACATTCGATAGAACCACAACAGAGCTGGGTGCCTGTGTTCAGTTCAGGCCATCAGATCTGCCCTCACCCCAGAATGATTTCTTTTGGCCTTCCTTGGCCCAGGCAGCAGGCTTCAACCATCTTATTTTCCTTCCCTTTGCCTTATAATTTTGGGGGCTATGTCACCCCCAGAAGACAAGCTTGCACTCTCCCCATCTTTTTTTTCTCTTCTTTTTTCTTTGGTCGGTCGTGGGGCCTGAACCCTGGGCCTGGGCACTGTCCCTCAGCTCTTCAGCTTAAAGCTAGAACACTACCACCTGAGCCACAGCCCCACTTCCAGCTTTTTCTGCTTATGTGGTGCTGAGGAATCGAACCCAGGGCCTCGTGCATGCAAGGCAAGCACTCTACCACTGAGCCACCTTCCCAGCCCCTCTTTTTTCTTTCTTTCTTTCTTTTTTTTTTTTTTTGGGGGGGGGGGACGTGCCAATCTAAGGCTTGTATTCAGGGCCCAGCACTGAGCTTTGCCCAAGGCTAGCATTCTACTACGTAAGCCTCAGCTACATTTCTGGCTTTTTGGTAGTTAATTGGAGATAAGAGCCTCACAGAATTTTCTGCCTGGGCTGGCTTTGAACTACGATCCTCAGATCTCAGGGCCATAGGCATGAGCCACCAGTGTCTCATTTTTGGTTTTGTTTGTTCTTTTGCTGGTTCTGGGGAGCTTGAACTCAGGGCCTAGGCACTGTCCCTGAACCTCTCTGTGTTCAAGGATAGTGCTCTGCCACTTGAGCCACAGCACCGCTTCTGGCTTTTTCTGTTTATGTGGTACTGAGGAATTGAACCCAGGGCTTCATGTGTGCTAGGAAAGCACTCTACTGCTAAGCCATATTCCTGGCCCCCTAGTGTCTCATTTTTTTGGAGACAGAAAACACATAGTATAAATTTCAGCCTTGCTTTTTTTTTGGGGGGGGGGGTGGGCAGCCAGTATGTATGCCAGTACGTGGACTTGAATTCAAGACTTTGTGCTCTTGCTCTCTTTCTGCTCACAGCTGGTGCTCTACCACTTGAGTCACACTTCTAGTCCATCATTTTTACTGGCTACTTAGAATCTCTTGGGACTTTTCTACTAGGGCTGGCTCAGTTGCCCTGTGCCCTGGGACTTTGTCCTTGGCAATCTTTGCTGATTGGGGGGTTTGTGGTTAGAAATCTTTGGATCCCACATTTCCTAGCCTCTTCCACATTTCTCAGCCTCCTGTTTGATTACACCCCACCCATCCCATGGCAGGCTCCACGAGGCCACTTGCTGGCTGCTTGCTTACAATGTCTCTTTGTCTGGCTCTGGTCTTTTCTGACTGCCCAAACCCCTGTTGGCATTCGAAGCAGACAGCAGGGGCTGCAGGGGCTGAGCCATCCTCATTGTGTCTTCCCCCACAGCTGTGCCAACGGAGGCGGATACTATCATTACTCCTACTCTGTCGTGAGGGGCTGTGATCGCATTGTGCCTGTGGACATATACGTACCAGGTGAGACTGGGCCCTTGTGACGCTACTCAAGCCACCAAGAGCAGAGAGACTACCTCCCCCAGGCCTGGCCTTTACCCCAGGGCAGTATCAGGGTTGAAGGTGCCTGCATAGGTGGAAGGGAGGATAGGCAGCGTTTGCTAGCTATAAGCTACATACAGCTCTGCCCAACTTAAAAAAAGAAAAAAATACCACACCTGGCACTGGTGGCTCCTACCTGCAATCCTAGCTACTCAGAGACTGAGGTCTAAAGTTCACAGTTTGAAATCAGCCCAGGCAGAAAATCTGTCAGACTCTTACCTCCCATTAGTGAAACGGAGCTGTGACTCAAGTGGTAAAACACAAGGTTAAGTAAAAAACCAAGCAAGAGCACAAAGCCCAGAGTTCAAACCCCAGTACCAGCACACACACATACACACACACACAAAACGTACCACATAGGATGCAGTTCTTGAAACCAACAGGACAGGAGGCTAGTCTAAACTCTCTGGTCCTTGTCCTCAGAAGGGTAAGTCTTCTAATCATGTCCCACACAGCCTTTGGACTATGCCAATACGGTATTACCTGGAATTCACATTTCACTGGTCATCCTCTATTTGACCTGGTAGCCCCGTGGACCCTCTCATATGGTCCCAGCCAGCCTGGCACCCAAAGGGAGCCTGCTGGAGTATTTGCCTTGACAGTAGTCAGTACGGTCAGGAATGGGAGCAGGACACAAAAATTCCTAGTTCTTGCTGCCTGGCATTGTGCCCTTAGTGCCGTGGTCAAGTTCTCAGCTGCTCAGGAAAATGAAAGTCATGTCATGACCTCCCAAACAATGGCAAGACAAGTTTGCCATTGAATGATGATGGCTGTCTGGAAACAATTTGTTTGGAGTTCTGTACTAAGATCTGTTCTCTGACACAGGGGCCCAAGGTGGCCCTGCCTGGTCCTCATCCTCCCCAGGACTGTACACTATGGGGTGCTGGTATGGGACTTGGCTTCCTTCCACCTCATCCAGTCCCAGCCTCTACCTGCTACAACTCCAGGGGTCCCAGTGGCCCTGCCCTCAACTGTCTTCTGCTGTCTGGCCACTTCTAGCCACTTCACACTGACTGCCGGATAGCCAGGTGGGGGTTGGCTGGGCAGGGAAGATGGCACTCAGGGCCAGAAGTGCAGTCATTGGATCCTGTGTCATTTCCACAGGTGGTAGGTATAGGCCTACCCCTTCCCTCAGTCGCAGGCATCTACCTGTGTCCCCAACCCATGTTTTCCTTTCCTACCCAGCCCAGGGACCCCTTGGCACTCCAGCATGCTGTACCTTGTAGACTTTTTTTTTTTTTTAAACCAGTGCTGGGGTTTGAACTCAGGGCCTGGGCACTGTCCTTGACCTTTTTGCTCAAGGCTAGCACTGTACCACTTGAGCCACTGCACCCACTTCCAGCTTTTTCTGTTTATGTGGTACTGAGGAATTGAACCCAGGGCTTCATGCATGGTAGGCAAGCCACATTCCCAGCCCCTTGAAGACTTCTTTTTTTTTTTGCCAGTCAAGTCAGGGCCTAGGCTCTGTCCCTGAGCTCCTACCACTTGAGCCACAGTGTGCCACTTCTGGCTTTTTGTTTATGTGGTACTGAACCCAGGGCTTTATGCATATTAGGCAAGCATTCTACCACTAAGCCACATCCCCAGCCCCCCTTGTAGACTTTGAGGAGTCTTTTTTTTTTTTCCCCCCTTTCTTTCTTGTGCCAGTGCTAGGGCTTAAAATCAGGGCCTGGTAACTTTCCCTTAGCATTCTGACTCAAGGCTGGAGCTTTACCATTTGAACCACACCTCCACTTCTAGTTTGTTTTTTTTTCTTTTTTTTGGGGGGGGGGGGGCGTAATTAGTATTTCAGTGAAGGTAAGTCTGATGGACTTTCCTGCCTAGGTTGCCTTTGAATCATGATACTCAGCTTTCAGCCTTTTGAGTAGCTAAGAATAAAGGCATAAGCCACTGGCACCTGGCTTGTAAGGGACTTAGACAATGTAGGAAGAGGGTAGCCCAGAATACAGGAGGGACACTGAGATTTTGGTCCCCATAGGCTGTCCCCCAACCGCAGAGGCCCTGCTCTACGGCATCCTACAGCTGCAGAGGAAGATCAAGCGGGAGAAGAGACTCAAAATGTGGTACCGAAGGTAGTGCTGCCCATGCTACTACCCTGCAATTGTGAATAAATCCATAGTAAACTTGCCTGAGTCTGAATCCTAGTGTCCATGGGGTAGGGGAGCAGTGGGAGGCAACAGGTGGATCCTGGCATCTTGCCTCTAAACAGGGGCTGTTACTATTCTATAGACATCAGACTTGGTTATGAACCCCCTGCCCAGTCACTCAGCTGAGCCCTCCCAGGAAGGAGTGGCTTTGGAGAGCAGAAAGCTGTGAGTCTTGATGCAGTCTCCCTCTCAGGCCCACAGTAGCTGAGCACAGCCCATCATCCCTGCCCACACCTGAGTATCCAGGCTCAAACACTGTTTCTAAGCTATTTCTGGGGCCATCATCCATGCCCACACCTGAGCACCCAGAGTTCAAACATTGTTTCTAAGCCATTCCTGGGCAGTGGGGACTCTAAGACGCATTAGCAGTAGCTGCCTCTTAGCTGGAACACACCAAGACAGGCCTAGATGAGCCCTGGGGGGACCATGTACATCCAGGGCTGTAGGAAGACCTTTCCTCCTTCTCCTGACCTGGTACTCTTGGCCAGGGCCTCCCTCTAGAATCTGCCTTGTGTTCTCTAGCCCACAATTCTACAATGTCTTAGCGACAACACTGGTCAGGGCTATGGTGATGGCTACCCAAGTCACTGGGGGTAAGCTGCCCAACCCAGCTTGAGGGCAGCATTTAGAACAAGACCACACTGAAATGGGAAGTCTCACAGGTAAGAGAAGCTTCAACCAGGGCTTAGGGGCTGAGTCTGCAGCTTGACTTTTGTACTCATGGTGGGGATCAGCAGCCGGAACAGACAAGATGGTTCCAGTGCAGTTGGCCTGGATATGTGGATGATGCAGAACAGGGCTACAGAGGGACCCAGGCAAGATATTTGGAAGGATTTTCGTATTGGGGGACAGAATACCACAAATGACATAGTTGAACCCTCTACTGCACAAGGGCTTTCATCTGGCTCCTGGTCATGGCTGCCTGGAAGATCTTGGGTACTGGCATCATGAGTGAATGGCAGGTAATCACAGACGGAGGCTTAGAAACAGGCAAGGAGAGCCCCCAGGAAGGCCAATGGGAAGCTGCATGGTCACCCACCACTGACTGGCCAGGCCAGCACCATCATTTATTTCACCCTTGGGCTCTGGGGACCAGCAGGCTGCTGCTGGAGCTTAGGAAGGCTGCCCTGTGTCAGCAGGGACAACCAGGGCTGAGGCTAGGGCTCACCCTCTAGCCACCAAGGCACTGATAGGGGTGCAGAAACACTGGTCCAGAGACCCTGAGGCTCCCCCAGGGCCAGCAGCTCAGTGCTTGGTGACCCGTGGTGTGATCATCTGTGGGAAGGCGTAGTAGCGGCAGTCGGCAGGTGGGGCGAGTGCCATCACTTCAGTGCAGATGTTGTCCCTCCGGAAGCCCGCCTCCTGCAGCGCTGGCACCTGTGTCTCCTGGTGAGAGGGGCTCAGGTCATCCCAGGATTGGGCCTGGCCACACCCCCGGGGGCACATGAGATGCTGCCCTAGACATGAATAGGAATCCCCAGCTTTCAGCCTGGACAGTAGCCAGCTCAGCCCCTAGGTATCCTCCCATACCAGTCCCAGGAAGGATAGTGATACACTAGAGCCCACCTACGGGATCCCCAGTGGGCTTCTTTTGCTCTTGCCACTGTCCAGAGTAAGAGAACCAGGACAGGAAAAGGACACAGGCTGCTAGCTAGCTCATAATTTTGTTCACCCTGTGTCACTAGCAGGCTCTCAGAACTTCTGTGGGTTCCTAGGAGAGTAGCTAAAAAAAAAAAAGGATTGTCGCCTGGTGCCAGTGGCTCATGCCTGTCATCCTAGCTACTAGGGAGGCTGAGATCTGAGGATCTCAGTTCAAAGCCAGCCCAAAAAACCACTGTGGCTCGAGTGGTAGAGCCTTACCCTTGAGCTGAAGAGCTGAGGGACAGTGCCCAGGCCCAGAATTCAAGCCCCACAACAAACAAAAAAAAAAGGTGGGGCGGGGGGAACCCTGCTGAACAGGTAAAAGGGCACTGAGGAGAATGGGAGGGGCTGAGCTGTATCCACATGCTGGAGAGTAACGGGAAGTGATTTGAGCTGGTGAGGCGTCTTGGTGATTTCAAAGTAGAAAAATCAGCACACCAACCCACCCAAGAGTTTAACCCCTGAGATCCATGGGACAGAGGCTCTCCCCAACATCAACAGGGTGACCACAACTCTCCCCCTCCCTCCCCCCCACCAAGGTCCCTGCCAGACATTGAGGTAGGGTCCACCAGGAACTCCCAGGTTTGCACCTCAAACATGATGGTAATGTCTGAATACTTGGACTTCATCAGTTCTCCCCAAGAGGTGAGATTGCAATATGTGAGGACACCTCCAGGCTTCAGCAGGCGGAAGGCATGGTTCTGGGGAAAGAAACCAAGTAATCAGGAGAGAGCCTGAGGTGTAAATAGAGGGGGATCGATCCCTGTGAGGCCCCCACACCCTAACAAGTCAGCAGTGAGTAAGAGAGGTGCTGACTACAGACAGCCCCATGAAGCTGCATTCTCACCTTGATGAAGTTGAACTGGTGTGTATGCCAGGTCTCCTCTGAAAGGGGGTATGTGTCATACAGGATCCCTGCATAGGGCATACAAACTGGCAATCAGGGCCACCATAGCCTCACCCAGCCTTACCTGGCTAGTCCTGGAGCTGCACAAGCTGTGTTTCAAAAGCTACCCTGGTGTGAGCCCCAGCTACCTTTTCCATTCACCACCATCTTGTTGTGTTTCTGTGCACAGGCCCTCTGTGTATGTGTGCCGTTGTATGACCTCCACACCAACTCCAACCCCCAGGCTTGTCCCTGAGTACATACTAGAGAGTGTATCAAAATGTCCCTCTGCAAGCAAAGGAGGAGCTGATGGTGCAGTTGCAGGCAGAGGGCCCCATGTAGGTTCCCCTCACCGTCAAAGTGATTGTCCGGAAGTGTGGGCGCCACCTCTTCCCACAGGCCTTTTAAGGGGACCACCTTGGAGATGGGAGAACAAGAGAAGATTGGGGTTCAAAGAGGATCCTATCACTACTTGCTGTAGGGAGGAATAGGAGACTCCCAAGGGAGGAGGCTGCCCCTTCCCCCCTCTCCATGTCACCCCAGGCTCCTGTCCCTCTGAGGAGTGAGCCTACAAGTCACTGGGCACCTTGTGTGGCTGCTGTGAGGCCCAAGCCTGGAGCCGCTGGAAGACACCATCATTGCACTCGATGATCCAGTGCTCCTCGATGGGGGCTTCCTGCAGCCTTGTGGCTGCAATGGCCATGCCAAAGCCCACCTCTAGGACCCGGCCCCCTAGGAGATAAAGGACACCAGGCATCAGAGTGGGTCCTGGGTGGACCTGGCCATAAGTCACATCTACCCTATGTGTGACCAGTTGGAAAGGAACTGTGGGTGGGTAGAACACAGTAGCCCTAAGGACAGAATCGCGTGGGCCTCGGCAGTAGCCAGAGAGAAAATGTCCAGCCTCAGGCCAAAGCTTTTGGGACCAGCCCCAATCTATGTGTGGAGGGGGGTCAGAGCCTTGGACTTTGAGCCCCTGCCCACGCTGTTTGTGCTGGTGGCCCTTATCTCTCCAGTTAGTTACTTTCCTGTCCCCTCCCCCTGGCCGTGGGATTTCCAAGGACAAGGCCTTGTTTCGAGGATTGGGAGTCACAGTGATCTGAGCGGGAAGGAGCTCTAGATCACAGAGTGGAACACCCCCTCCCCCAACCCTGCGTGGAACAGTGCAACTGCCCATTTCCCAGAGGCCCTGGAAGGATTGGGGCTGGGGAACACTCCAGCTTCCACACTAGGCAGTGCAGAGCCAGTTTAGTGGACAGCTGTATCTCTGCTCAGCTTTCTCAAGCTATTCTTAGCCACCAGGGGGCGGGACCCCCACCGTCCCGGGCAGTCAGACACTCTCCCCCAGCCAGATTCCCCTGTCCCTCCCACAAGCCGAGTTCCACCCCAGGTTGTGCGTCAGGGCATCCAGACCCCCGCCCTCCCTCGGCCTAGCCTGGAGAATCGGGGTTCATGACGTTCCCAGTACCTAACAAGCGCGCCTGCTGCGTGCGGGCCCCGTGCCCGCAGCACCCCTTCTGCAGCCTCGGTGGCCACCACCTCCGGGCGAGGAAACCGAGGCACACAGAGAGGCTGCTTCGTGTCGACTGGAGCGCCCCGCCCTCACGGCCCAGGCCCGGTACCTCGGGAGGCGGCGGCGGCCGCCAGAGCGTGCATGTAGGGAGTCTCCCAGCGCTCCATCACCGGCTTGCCCAGGATTTGCAGGTGTGTGTCAGATGCATCGTAGGCCGCCGGCGCCGCGCGCCATGCAGGGCTGCAGTCCTCACCGGGCGCGAAGAGCGGGCTGGCAGCGGGGACACTCATGGTGCGGTGGCCGCCAGGACGCGTCCGGACCTCCGGCCGCGGGCGAAGCCTCTGTGGGGGCCTTCCGGGCAGGCGGGGCTGGTGGGAGGAGGGGGCGGGGATAGGCTGTGGGGGCGGGGCCAGAGCTCCCCCCCCGTGGAGGCGGGGCTACCGGGAGGGAGGGGCGGAGCCTGGGGTGGGGCCTTCGAGACCAGGCCCCGTTGGAGGCCGGCGGGGGTGTGGCCGGATTCATCAAGCCTCGGCCCTGCGGCCTTCAGTCCCCACTTTGTCTTTTACTTGCCTGGGAATCCCTCACCGGGAAGGGGCGCGAAGACCTGACGTTTTCCTAGCGCTATTGCAAAGTGTTTTTGAATATTTTAAATCATTTAACCTTCAGAATAGGCTGGGTTTCTCACTTTACGGATGAGGAAACCAGCAAAACCTAAGCCAAGAGGGTGGGGGGAGAGGTTCAATATTAGAACTCCCAACAGCACCCTGGAGGTGAGGGTTCACACCAATGACCATAGCTACTCAAGAGGCTGAGGTCTGAGAATCACAGTTCAAAGCCAGTCTGTGAGACTTACCTCCAATTAACCACCCAAAGAACCCGGCCTCGAACAATAAAGCTAAGGACAGCACCCCAACACACACACACACACACACACACACCA